ATTAATAGTCTCACCTATACTGCAAGAGATCCATTTATTCATGTAAAAGAGGAAGAGGAAGGATCTCAGCGAAAAGGTCCTGTAAGAGCTCTTGAAGGCCTTCATTGTCATCGATGTTCGTGTTGATTATCTGCTTACGAACGGCAACAGAGATATTTACATTTACGTTTATTATTCTTATCTCAGAATAAAAATTTTGCGCGGCAAGACGGGCCACCCGTTTAAACTCTTCGATTAGTTGTAGGTCTATAGACTTAAGTTGCTTCCACAAATTGCCTGCATGTTTAGATAAATCTTGTCTTTCGATCCTAAGATTAAGTGCAGTGACAGAATCCTGTACAACATTTCGAAACAAAATGAAACAGGTTTGTGGAGCCTTCCTGCCGTTATTTAGGATGTTTCCGGCCGTAGGGATCGTAAAGGCTACGTGATTGTTTTTGAAACTTATATAAAATTGATTATAATTACATCGAGTGAATCGTAACTCGATGCCGTTTTCATTCGATAAAATAGAATATGACAGAGGTTCGTAATTCATGATAAGTTATTAATGAGTCGTCGTTAGTGAATCATAAATTATTCTGTGCCGTTCAAAAAAAAATAAATGATGGGGAAAAGAGGTTATAGAAGAAAGATACTTTATATAATTTTGATCAAAGCATCAAACATACTTTTTAAGAACATATTTACCGTTAACGATCAAGATTTTTTTTTTTTTCTAAAAAAAAAAACTTAAAAAAAGCCACTAAACTTTGAATAATTGAAAGAGTGGTCTGATTTTTTTTTTTTACTTTTCCAGGCTTATTAATTGAACCATTAACATTATTGTTATAGAAAAATTCTTTTTTCCTAATTATGAAACTAAATCGGACTACGGACCATTCATGCTTTTTAGGTGAGAAACTGCTATGCTTTTTTAAGCATTACGCATTAGTGCGAATTGAGCCACTCTATAAAAGGAGAATTGAATAATCTAATATTATCTAATAAAAATTGATTTTGACTACTTAGTTAACGACGCGTGAATTTTTATTAGATAATTAAGTGTTTTAAATAAATGTGTAAATGCATGTATAAGAAAAGTGTTGATCCAAATACATAAAAGGAATTTTATGAAGGCTAATTAAAAAAAAAGGATTGATAGTGTAAATGCAGCATCCCCATTTTTATGGGGCATTGTTAGCTTAATCATAAAATTACATGAGATTTTTTAATCATAATATCTTTGATGACTTCCATTCGAGACGAATACGTATATTATTACTTTTAAACATTATTTGGAGCATTCAAATAAATAATTATAATTAATATCAAGCATTTAACAAGTTCGCGCACTTTATAATAACTTTATAGTATAATAGAAATAAGAATTTTCTTCAGTTCTTACCAGCATTTGTTATAATTTTTAGTTATTGATCGCAATAATAACAATCAATACTAATACAGTGCTCGAAAATCATTCTAAATCTGTACCACCATATGGCCATCTGACACTGGGCATTTCCAAATTAATAGTTAAATAAAAAAAGGAAATGATTTGCGTACATCAGTTTTAGCCAATAAAAATTGCTGCGCCTCCAAAATCAAAAAATTTCGGGTGCTAGTGCTGCAATTTCATTTCCCA